AGGGCCCCGGTGGAGGCACCCGCGGCCGCCGGGCTGCCAAAATAGGTTTGGAGGAAGGACAGGTGACCCCGGCCACAGGGTCCGTGCTCCGCCAGCGCCTATTAATTGGGAGCTAATAGCGCTTAATAGGAATTCCGGGAGAAGTGGCTATGGTTTGCAAATGAAGGAGAACGGGGCCAAAAATTAGCTCCTAGTTAATTTTCCCGGTTCCCGAGCGTGCCACATGGCGAGGCAGCGTGGTGCGGCAGCTGGCACCCAGGGGGTGGCAAGAGCCTGGGAGCAGAGGCGTGTGGGAGCTGGGGGCACCGGGACCGTGCCCTGTCCCTGCCCTGGGGCCGGGCTGGCAGCCGCGGATGGCTGGCGTGACACTGGGCCGGGGTGGTGCCCAGCACCCGTGGCAACGGGCTCCAGCTTGTCCCAAACAGCCAGCGAGCCATGGGTATGCACGGACGCCTCACCTTCCTCCTCCTCCTCAGCCTCCGTGCCCCAGGTAGGCACTTTATGCTCATAGCATTGGAGGCACCCTTTGCCAGACCCTAGGTAGGGGACCGAGAGGAGCGGGACAGGGGACAGGCTTCCCCCAGTTGCCCCCCCTGTGTCTGGGGCTGACCCCAGGATTGGCAGAGGGGCCGGCAGCTGCCTGGCTGGGTTCAGGCAGGGAGGGGGCATCACTGGGGCATCCTCAGGGCATTGCCACGGCATTACCAGGGTATCTTGGGGGCATCGCTGGAGCATATCCGGGCACCACTGGGGCATCTCTGGAGCATCATGGGGGCATCTCTGGGGCCTCCCCAGGGCATTGCCGGGACACAGCCCGGCAGGCTGGGGTGACACTCTCCTCTTTGCAGGGATTTTCATCAGAGCAGCAGGTAAGAGCGGGGTGCCCTGGGTCCTGCTGCGCCTGGCAGGGAGACCTATGCCCACGTGGGTGCCTGGGTGCAGGAGCAGGGCTCCCTAAGTACGGCTGGGCAAGCTGTCGGTGGTGCTGGCCACTTGCGAGGCCGGTCCCTGGGGTCTCCTGCCAGCCCTGCCTGACCTGCCGCGCGTGGTGGCCCTGAGCGAGGATGCGGCGCCGGGCACCCACGTGGCCGAGGTGACCGTGTCCTGCAGCAATGCGAGCGGCAGCCCCAACGTCACCCTGCGCGGCATCGAGCCCGGCCACCCTTTCAACCCTATCACCGTCAGCGCCGACCCTGCAGCTGCCAGCACATTTCAGGCAGAGGTGCGGCTGGGGGACGGGGAGTGGGGCAGGAGCCTGCGGGCGCCCTGCTGAGCATTGTGTCCTTGTGACAGGTGACGCTGCATGCCAGTGCGGAGCTTGATGCCCGCCGGGTGAAGCAGTACACCCTGACCCTGTGGGCCTCTTGTCCCGGCGAGGACGAGGTGGAAGAGCGGCTCTTTGTCTGGGTGATGGCGGGGCAGGTGCTGCGCTGTGATGCCCCCTTTGCCAGTGCAGGTAGGAGCCGGGGGGTGCGAGGCGGCGGGGCCTGCGGGTACCAGCTGGCACTGGGCTCCCATGGCCATGCTGCATCACAGGGGGAGACGTAGTGCAGGTGCTGGCGGACGTGGCACCCCGGACGCCTCTGTACGTGGTGCTGCCTCAGCCGCTCGGCGGGCTGATGGTGAGTAGCGTCTGCCCTAGGGTCCGGCAGCCCCCACAAGCAGTAGCAGCCTTGGGGATGGCGGGACCCCAGGCGTGGAGGGGGGACAGAGGTTCCCACCCTCCTCCCGCTGCCTGTCTCTCTGCAGTTCAGGCTCCGAAACCACGACACGCCGCTCGTGCTCACCCGCCAGGGCCTGGTGCTGGCGCCTGCTGACGGCTTCAACCCCAGCAAGGACACCCAGGTGGGCAGCAGCATCCCCAGGCTGTCACAGCCACCTCTCAGCCCGCCTGGGCTTAGCCCCTCGCTGGCACTGCCCGCAGCTCTCCGCATCCTGCTCCTCCCATTGGGCACCCATTTCCCCCCGGCCCTGGGAGTGCTCCAGCCCTGTCCTTATCCCTGTTCCCATCCCTGGCTCCATCCCCTTCTGCATCTCGAGTCCTGTCCCAGTCCTCATCCCTGTCACCGTTTCTGTCCCCATTCTGGTCTCCAGCTCGTCCTTATCCCCATCTCTATCTGTATTCGCACCCCTGTTCCTGCTCCAAGCCCCATTCTCATCCCTGTCTCCATCCCTACCCCTGTCTCTGTCCCTGCTCCTGTCCCCATCCAGTCCCTATTCCTGTCCCTGTGCCTATTACTATCCTCATCCCCATCCCTACCCCTGTCTCTGTCCCCATCCCTGTCCCCATCCCTGTCCCTGGTGCCACTCGGGGCTTTTCCATGGCCGCCCCGGCGCTGCCCTGCAGATGTTCAGGCTGGAGATCGAGGTCATGGACCGCCACGGGCACAACTGCAGCGGGACCGTGAGGGTGGAGGTGCTGCCATCGCACCGTCCCCGCGTCACCTTCCTGTGAGTGGGGCTGGGCCAGGTGGGGGGTGCTGGTGGCACCAGGCCATGTCATGCTGCCCACCTTGCCTGCAGCGAGCCGCAGTGGGCCGTGACGGTACCAGAGGGCATCGGCCCCTTGGAGGTGGTCACGCAGGTCCACGCCAGTGGTGACAACGTCCGCTATGCCATCCTGGCTCCCACGGCGCCCGCACTCTTCACCATTGACGAGGGTGAGCGGGGTGGCGAGGTCCCCGGGGCCACCCTGTCCCCGTCCCCGTGCCCTTCACAAGGCCGTGCCATCTCCCACAGTGACGGGCGAGATCCGCAGCACCTGCCAGCTGGAGGTGGCCCATGCACGCCTCCTCGTCCGGGCTTACAACGCGCTGCACCCCACCGACCACGCCACCACCATGCTCAACGTCACCGTGCAGGGGACAGGCCGGCAGGCGCCAAGCTGTGTCCCAGCCCTCTCCATGTACAGTCTGGGGGGGAGTGGGGTGTGGGGGATGCTCTGCCATGCCCGGGACACGGGGGACGGGAGCTGAGCTGCCAGCCGCCCCGCCACAGGTCCCAGGTGCCCGAGACAGTGTCCCCCGGCAGCACCCTGGTGACGCTGAGGTGCACCGACCCCACCGGCACCAACGGGAGCCTGCACTATGCCCTTGAGGGGCCCCCCACCTCCCGCTCCCGCTTCTGCATGGAGGGGCCACGGCTGCAGGTGAGCGGGGCCACAGGCAGCGCCCAGGACCTGGGGGAGCCCAGCAGGACAGTGGGGACCATCTGACACGTGCTGTCACACCAGGTCCTGGACTGGGGATCCGGGGGCTCTCTACCCCCCCAGGCCTGCCTGTTCCCCCCCTCACTTCCTCTGGCTTCCCTGGCATCACAGCTTTGCAGGGCACCCTGGCTCTGCCTGACCCCCCTACCCTGGCTCGGCAGGTCAACACCACCCTGGACTACGACTCGGAGGCCGTGGCTGCTGTGGGCTTCCAGTTCACGGCCACCATTGTGGTGACGGCAGGAGGGCAGCCCCCACGGAGCAGTGAGTGCCCGTGTCCCCAGGGGGTGCTCGGGGAGGGGGGTGCAATGGGGGAGGTCACGGGGTAGGTGGGAAAAGGCCCTTCCCGACCCCAAAACTGGCAGATCACAGAGGAAATGTTCCTCCCCTGCTGCCCCAGAGACGCCTGCCCATGGTGGTGGTGCCACTGTCCTCGTGTCCCCCAGCCTGTCCAGGGGAGAGCACACCCAGCCCAGTGCAGGCTGTGGGGTGGTGCCAGCACGGCTGAGCCACTGTATGTGCCGCACAGCCCACGTGCCCGTGCTCGTGACGGTGACACCCGTCAACGAATTCACACCGGTGTGCCCCAGTGGTGCCACCTTCACCGTGCCGGAGACAGCGGCTTTCGGCAGCACCGTGGGACGTGTGGCCGGCACTGACCGTGACTACCCACTGGACAGCCTTGAGTACAGCCTGGAGGGAGGCCCCAGCCCCACGCAGCCCTTCTCCATTGACACACGCACCGGTGAGTGCCCAGCCCCTTCCCCAGCCCCCACTGCACCCTGTGGCACCTGTGGGTGCCCAGCAGCTCACACCACCCCACAGGCGAGATCCGCGTGGTGGGACCCCTCGACTCCCAGCGGCACAAGAGCTACAGGCTGACAGTGCGGCTGACAGACACCCGCAATGACCTGGACCCGGCAAAGCGTCGGAGCTGCCTGTGCGACGTGGCCGTGCACCTGCAGGTGCGAGTGCAAGCCCGTCAGGTGAACCACGGTGGGTGCAAGCACCGCAGGTGCTATACCGCTTCTCCCTGCTCCCGGCAGGCTGTGCCGGACCAGGCACCGGTGTGTACCCCTGAGGTGCAGGAGCTGCGGATCATGGCCAGGTCGGGTGGCCGCCAGCCTGTCACCCGCCTGGCGTGCCAGGGCAGCTCCGACGGTGCCGTGCTGGCATACACCATCGCTGGAGGTGAGGAGCGGCCAAGTACAACCCAGCCCCTCACCGCGGTGTGGCACTGAGCAGACCCTCTCGTCCAGGCAATGAGGACGGGCGCTTTCAGCTGGAGGGGAACACCCTCTTCTACCTCCCCAATGACCTGGCCGAGACCCGTACCTTTGTGCTGCTGGTGGAGGTGTGGGGTGGCCCCGGTGCCCCCCGCCGCAGCACCGTGGTGGCACTGGTGGTGCACGTCACCCCCCGGAGCACCCCAGTGCCACCCAGCACCACCACCCGGCACACGGTGAGCAGAGCCCCCTGGCCAGGCAGTGCTCCCGGCTCCGTCAGGCTCCCCGGCCCTTGTGTGCCCCCTCACCCCGCTGCCTCTGCAGACACTGCGGAAGGAGCCGCTGGTTGTCACGCGGACGGAGGCGGCATGGCACCCACCAGCCTGGTTTGTGGCCGTGCTGACTGTCTCCGGCGCCCTGCTGCTGGCCGCCCTGGGCTGTGTGGCCCAGAGCCTGCTGTGCAGGTGAGCCTTGGCCCCATGGCACGGCACGGCACGGCACGGCACAGCACAGCATGGCACAGCACAGCGAGCAAGGCCAGGGGCTCACGGCCGCATTCTGCTCCTCCCGCAGCAACCGAGACCATAGCAAGCTGCTCCTGGGCAAGAGGTGGGTGCTGTGTGGCCGGGGCCATTGGATCTGTGGCGAGGGACAACCATGCACTTTGGCACAGGCTCCCATAGCGTGCTCGCAGGCAGCTGGGAGATGCAGTGTGTGTGGGGTGTTTAATGTACCCCGTGTTTGGCTGTGGTCTCTGGGTTGCTGCGCCGGGAAGCCATCTCTGCCCCGGGGTGAGGGTGCAGCACTGACGGGAGCCATGGGTGCAGAGATGGCGATTTGGCCGGGGGACAGCCATGTTGATGGCTGGGCTGGGGCAGAAACTCTGCGGTGGGCAGGGTGGGATGGCACAGCGCTGGTGCTGCTGCCTGCCACGGGTCTGGCTCCTGGTGCCGGGGCTGGGGCCACTGTGGCTCACTGGGGGAGCCCCAATTTGCTGGGGAAGGCACCCCGGGAGGAGGTGAGCAGGCTGCACACCCCCCGGGAGGATGAACCACGGGTGAGAGCCGGCAGAGGGGAGAGCCCGAGGAAGCACTGGAGCCGGCCCAGCCTGTGCCAGGCGTCTGCACGGCGAGGAGGAAGCATGCAAGCTTGCGGGCAGGGTAACAGCCGCCTCCAAGCAGCGTAACCACCCCAGGGTGATGCACGGCTGGATCCGCGTTCATTGGTGAGGTTGGGGATATGGTGCCTGGTGGCACCGGGGCTGTAGTGACCATGAAAGGGAGAAGACTCGAGCTCAGCCCCCGCGGGCAGCGCTGGCAGCAGGACGGCTCCAGGGCTGCAGGTCCCCCAGCACAGCATCCTCTGAGCATGACAACAGCGTGCACTGGCACGTGGGGAAACAGGCAAGCATGCTGGCAGACCGGCTTGCCGCTCTCGGGCATCGCTGAAAGGTGGTGGAAGCACCATGGGTGGGGGGGGCACAGCCCTCACTGCAATCCCCTTCGGCACCCAGGGCCATGCCAGGGACACGTGGGCTGGGTAAGGGAACGATCAGGTAGGTGGAAATCAGTTGGGGCGACGGGCTCGATGGGGCGCAGCCGGGCAGTGCAAAGCCTGGCTGGCGACCCACTCCTGGCAGCATCCTTTGGGGTCGAGGCTGGGGGCCTGTCGCCAACGGCGTGCCTTCCCCTCACCCCCTCTGCAGCTCCTGGGACGTCGCGGAGCAGAGGGGTGGCGAGGAAGAGCGGGGCTGCCCCCATGCTGGCAGCCCTGTAAGTATGTGCCACGGCGGTGAGAAAGGTGCCCTGCTGGGGGCGTGGGCAGGCACCCTGGGGCCCTCAGCACCCTCTCCCGTCTCTCCTTCGCACAGGGGCAGTTCGACGGCCGTGCCTGGGACCCACGTGAGTGTCCTGTCCCACGGCCCCTGCAGCCTCGGACTGCATCCCTCGGGGCAGCGGGGTCTTGGGGGACGGGAGAGACGGGCACCAGGCAGCAATGCCTGGGCAGCACCCACGGGGCAAGGGCTGAGTGCTGCCTCCTGTCTCAGGCACCGGCAGGGACTATCTCTTCAACAGCGTGACCGGGGCACGGCACTGGATCTGAGCAGCTTGACCCGGCGAGGGACTCCCCGTGACCCACAGCTCCCTGTAGGCCACGCTGGGCAGAGCACCGGGCGCTGGCAGACACCCGGCACAGCCCTCAGGCCCAGGAGGAAGAGGGGATCCCTCCTCCGTAGCCGAACTCGCGACCCACAGGGTGCAGCTAGCCCCTGAACCGCCCCGGCCAGTGTGGACCCAATAAATTGTGGCAGAGATTGCGCCCGCTGCCGTGATTGCCATGGGGAGTGCTGTGGCCGAGCAGTCCCACCAGTGGCTGTGGCGGTCATTAGTAGTCTCCAGTTAGGGATGTGGGTGGCACAACCCAGGACCAGGATGGCGGTTACGGCAGCGCCGGCCCCAGGCTGGGGTTGGGCACTGCAAAAAATGTGCTGAGGACTTTGGCGGGGTCTGCTCCAGTCACGGCAGCGTCTCCGTAGCCTCTGGATGTGACCCAGCCGGGGCAGTCCTCTGCAGAGACGTGATCTGGGGCAAGAAAACTCATTCACGAGTAATTTTGAGAAACTTTTGCCCCGTGTCCCATGTCCTCCTCAAGCTCTCCCTTGCTCCAGAGGTGCACTCCCAGGTGCCAGCGGGTGGGACGAGCAGCTGGGCGGCGAAGGGGCCAGGTTTCTTAATTGGGAGGAAAAGTGAATTAGCGCGCGCGCAGGTAAGCGCGACATGCCGCGGGAGAGTTAGCAGGGCCTGGCGAAAGGGCGGGAGCGCTTTGAAGGAGTCTGTCAGCGCAGGGAGGTGAGAAACCGGTTATTTGAATTTCAAAGGAGCGCGCCACGGGAAGTCTCCCCGGCAGCTCCCAGGGAAACGAAGTGCTGGCGGGAGGAGAGGAAAGAGACTAATTTGGGGAGCAGGAGGCTACGAGGGCAGGAGCCAGACGTGAAATTTCACAGCGAAAAGGGGTCACCTGTGTGACTCCGCCCGGGGGTCCCCTTGCCCTGAGCCCGCAGGAACGGTGACCGTTCGGGAATTAAACCTTTATTGTACCGGATCGGTGTGTGAACGCATTCCGCTCGCTGCTCCGAGGGGCCAGCCGAGCGCGACGAGCTGTTCGGGGCCAGGCCGCAGCGCGG